GTCCGAATCCCCTGGTGCGGTAACTTCAATTCCTGTTAGTAAATCCATCATTATATTGTTGATTTTTGGCTTAGCCGCCACCAACGACACCAGCCTCGCGTCGAATGTCCTGGTTCCGATGATTTGCCTGATCTTCCAGAACACCGGGGGGCGATCGCTTCCCCGGTGTTGGGTACCTCTTAGCACCGACCGGAGTCGGTGAGCCCCCCCACCACGTCAAGGTGGGTCCCTTCGGGGGGGAATTTAACCTAACCTAACCTAACCTAACCTAACCTAACCTAACCTAACCTAACCTAACCTAACCTAACCTAACCTAACCTAACCTGAACATTTTTTTTTTTTTTTTTTTTTTTTAACGGTATCGCTGACGGGGGAGGGACTGCGTTAGCATTGCTTCTCCCCCGCCGCATCGTTTATTAATCAACAAAAGCAGTTAACATAACACAAATCAACAACATTATTGTTACAAATAACAGGGGCTTCTAACCCCGCATAAATGGCCTTCGGCCCACAACAGAAACAACTTAAATAAATTAACCAATTTCTTCARTGTTKCGCCCCRYTCTTTCTCTTCCTCTTTCTGCTTCTTCCTTGGTCACCATAACGGCCCTAGTGAAGTCCCTCGCTGCCTGCCACACGTCGGGGGATCGAAGCATTGCCGGAACGAGGTTTTCCACCGTGAMGTCCTCACCAATTGCGCACCGCAGCCGTTGCCGTTCCTCCTCCCAGGCCAGGCACTCAATCAATGTGTGTTCGGCACTGTCCGCTATCCCTTGACAGTGGTGACACTTGCCGGACTCTTCCTTCCCTATCTTCTGAAGGTATACGCCAAAGCATCCGTGACCCGAAAGGACTTGGGTAAGATGGAAGTCCAGTTCCCCATGCTTCCTATTACACCACGCTTCAATGTCCCCGACAAGCCGTTTGGTCCACTCACCAGTTGACRCCTTTGCTATCCTGGCGCGCCATGCTGCAAACGTCCTTGCCCTCGGTGGAAGCCCTGTCGCTTCGCCAGCCCTCTTCTCGTCGAATAYTAAGCTGCGCTCTCTAGCAAGAAGGTCTGCAGGAGGTACCGCAGCCAGGATATTTGCTGCCGTTTCAGATACAGTTCTGTATGCACATATACTCCTAAGAAGTGATGTCCTCTGCGTTCTATTCAGTTGGACTACGCTAGCTGGAGCATAATCCAATGTATGAGCCCACGAAGGGGCACCATACAATAACACGGACTGCACTACTGCGACATATAGTCTCCTGCGTAACTGCTTCGGTCCTCCGATGTTCGGCATGAGCCGTGCTAATTGATTCGCCGTCCTTCCGGCTTTCGCTGCAGCCTCAGCTATGTGTTCCTTAAACAACAATCTGCGGTCCACCACCATCCCGAGGTACCTCATTTGGTGTTTGATTTCCAGCGGGTGACCATCCAGCACGACTGCARGAGTTGTGAACTTGTACTTGTTGGTGAACAACACTGCCTCTGTTTTGTTCACCGCTAAAGAGAGGCCAATCGTTCTAATCTCCTCCGACACAACARCAAGAGCCTCGTTTGCMTTTTGCTCTARCTCGGAGATCGTTACACCAGACACCAGGATCATTGTGTCGTCAGCAAAACCTAGGATCTTTGTCCCCACTGGGAGCTGCAGGCGAAGTACTCTATCGTAYGCAATGTTCCACAGCAGTGGGCCGACGACCGACCCTTGCGGGACGCCGCACGTCACCCGTACTTCAGCGATGTTTTTGCCCGCCTGCGTTTCCGCCGTCCTTCCTTGGAAGTAATCCCCCAATATGCGCCTAAGGTACGCAGGTACCTCCAGTGCATCGACCGCAGCCATCACCTCGGACCACCCGATGGAATTRAACGCGTTGCGTATGTCGAGACTTATAGCGAGGCAGAACTTCTCGCAGGGAAAGTTAATGGTGGACAGGATCTCCTGCTKCAGCTTCAGGACAGCATCGTTCGTGGACTTCCCCTTTCTAAAACCATACTGGTTAGGTGACAGACCTCCTCTCGACTCAACGTGCTCCTCGAGTCTCCCGACAAGAATCGCTTCAAACACCTTTCCAACGACGTTGAGGAGACAGATTGGCCTGTATGATGACGGTTCTCCATCCGGCTTACCCGCCTTCTTCAGCAACACCACACGTGCTCTTTTCCAACCCGCCGGGACGCTGCCTTCCTCGACACAGCGGTTGTACAGCTCAGTCAGCATTGACGGGCACACGCGATGAACTGAACTCAAAATCCGACCCGTTATATTGTCCACTCCCGGTGCGGTGGATCTACGATGCGCCTTGTGCACCGCCCTGTTAACCTCCACAGTTGTGATGGGAGGGAATTCCTCCCCTGCCGGGTAGACTCGCGCCACCAGCGGAGGGCGCGTTGGGAAGAGGACGTCAGTAATCCTTGTCACAGACTCAGTCGTCATGTTACTTGTCGCTGGGGGGCCTTGCAACTTGCGGGTAACCAACTTGTAGGGCTTTCCCCACACGTCTTCATCAACCAGTGAAATGAGCTGTCTCCAACACTCGGCTTTGCTGCGGACGATCGCAATTCTGAGCGCCTTACGAGCTTCCTTGTACGCCCTCGACGCCGCCTCAGCCTCTTCAACGACACTAGCAACAACAGCGACAGATCCTCCGGCCCCAACTCGGTTGTACGCGCGATGGAGTCTTGAGTTACTTCTAGTGGCCCTTCTTCTTGCCCCCACACAGGCTTTGCGATGTTTTGCAATCTCGGCATTCCACCAGTGTACCGGTGGCTTCCCCGGACGCAAAGGAGCCTTTCGCTCGAGGGCGTAATCACATGCAGCTGTGACGAGCTTTTGGAAAGTCTCTGCGCGTTGGTCCGCACCTGGTGCCTCGGTACATACTCCAGGAGTGTTCGCCCACCGTGCGATCAGCAGTCCGACCTCGAGATCTCGTACATTGAGGGCTGTGTCGGTTCTCCAGCCCCTTGGTCTCACCTGAATCTGGTCTTCTCGGCTCCTCACTGCTAGCATCGCGAACTCAATGTACTGATGGTCCGACCCGCTTTCTGCTTCATCACAGACCCGCCAGCCTTGAATTCGACTGACTATGCCCTCGGAGGCAGCTGTCACGTCAACGATTGACCCCCTACCTCTTCCTACGAAGGTTGGACTGGATCCCTCGTTCAAGACAACTAGCCCGAGAGAGTCAAAGAGACTATTCAGGTCACTACCACGCGAGTCCTGGCACCAGTCACCCCACACCGCTGACCGTGCATTGAGATCGCCTGCTACGATAACCGGTACCCCGTGTCCAATTGTCCTTACGTGGTCTCCTATTCTCTGCAGGAAGTCAGAGAACTCCGCTGCGGTCCTGTTGGGAGACGCATAACAGCTGATCACCTTGACCCCGTTGAGTGTTGCAGACACGAATTCCGGATCTCTGTGCACTTCAGTTGCTGTGGCCTCATCGCTCGCCAACCATATAGCTGCTTTACGCGTTCCACAGCATGCCAGCCACGAACAGTCGTCACTGGGAACGATATGTGGGTCGCTCACTAGTGCTATRTCTACCTTCTCTTCAGCCGMGCGCTGCCGAAGTAGGTCCTGAGCCACTTTACAATGGTTCAGGTTGATTTGTAGGAACTTCATCATCGTGGCACTTACTTTCAACGGGGGTTCCAGTACCCCGTCCTTCCCCCTGCATTCGATCTTTATGTGCCTGTACTCTTGAAAGTTCTCCACTGCCGGTGCGCTTGTGAGCTGCCCTAGAGCAGTCGGCAGCAATGTGGCCCAATTCCC